GTAAAATCAGTGATAAAATGCTAAACAATTGTCATATCATTACTAAATCTGATGATTATTTGCACTGTTTTTGGCCTAAATGTCAATACAAAATCAATTACAAATGTCTATTAGAAAGACATCAATTAACTCATGCAAAAATAAAACAATTTAAATGTGAATTTACTAATTGTGCCAAAATTTTTAAATCATATAACGGTTTGAGGTTTCATGAAAATAGCGTTCATTTAAATGTAAGATTTATTTGCGATTTCAATGAATGCCACAAAAGTTTTACACGAAAAGGAGATTTATTTCGACACAAAAGTTGTGTTCATTTGAATGAAAAGCTATTCAAATGCAATGAAAAAAATTGTGACAAAAGTTATATCTCAAAATCAGGATTAAATTTACACAAACGCATTCATTCGGGACGAAAACTATTTGTTTGTGATTTCGATGATTGTAAAAAAGTTTTTACCGCAAAAAACTCTTTATTTCAACACAAAAGTTGTGTTCATTTAAATGAAAAGAACTTCAAATGTAATGAAGAAAGTTGTGGCAAAAGTTTTGGCCAAAAATCAAATCTAATTCGACACAAACAACGCATACATTCGGGAGAAAAACCATTAAATTGTAATTTCAATGATAAACTGTTGACTGATTTATTTGCCACCAAAAGGGAAGTTATTTAAATATCCGGTAATTTAAATGCAATTCAAATGATTGTGAAAAACAATTTGTTATTAAAACACAACACATGAATGCAATTCATTCACACATCAAACCATTCAAATGCACTCAAATTGGTTGCAATCAATCCTTTACTGTTAACCAAATGCTAATCACTAAAAATTCAAACATTAAATGCAATCATATTTATTATATCAATACTAATCCATTTCTACTGTATATTTGTAAATATTTAAAATTAAATTTGTTTATTGTAATTAACGTATACTGTATTATTTCATCCAGTTTTATTATTCCAATCAATTATTATTTGTAGTAAACATGTATTGTTAACTATCTAATAATATTTTAATAATTTTATAATTTATTATATATAAATTTCAATAATTATCAAAATGCTATTTTAATTAAGCCTCAGGGTAATCGCAAACTTATAATCTATATATTATATAAAACAAATATTCGTTTTATTTAATAGTATTTATATTTATTGATTTAGTTATATAATTAATCCTAGAATTTATTTGCAATTATTGTAATTATTTGTAATTTTAATTAGAAGTAAATAAAAAACAATATCATGGTTGATTATATTTAAAATGTCGTGCAAATTATTGTATCGTCCAATCAATGAGTAATTGATTAGACTTCAAACCAATTCATGAGATGGCGATCACAGAGTATGTGAAGCACTGCTTGACTGACATTATAGTCGATAAACAGATTTGACTTTCAATGAGAGTCTCGTTATGAGAGCACGTGTTTTATAGGAACCGGATATTAGACTATATTGTGAGGGAATAGCCGTTGGATTGACATTAGGTTTGCATTCAGTTTCACATCATTTCAAATGAAGTCAACATTTGTTTCATTTATTGTTTCAAAATTCAATTAAAATTAACGAGTGTTTCGTTCTTTGAATTAGTTGTTTAGTTTCAGGTCTTCTCAAATATCTGTTGATTTAATTTGTATTTTAAGTTATTTATCAAAATGTCTTCAAATTCAATGAGTGTTTCTCTAAATGAAATGATTTCCAAATTAATTGAAATCAAGAGTTTTTGTGAAAAAATAGATAAAATGAAATGTATTTTGTATTTAAATAATAGTGTTTTGTGTGAAGCGATTGGATGTAAAAATAATGACAACATTTCAATTATTCAAACAATTGATTGCAATTCAATCAAAATCAATGATAAAATGCTTCCCAAAAGTGATATCATTACTAAATCTGATGATTATTTCCACTGTTTTTGGCCTAAATGTCAATACAAGACTTCAACGCAATGGGAGTTAAGAGACCATCAATTATTTCATTCATCAATAAAACCATTTAAATGTGATTTTAATAATTGTAATAAAATTTTCAAACTTAAATCAAATCTAATTAACCATAAGAAAAGCATTCATTTAAATGTGACATTTGTTTGTGATTTTAATAATTGTAATAAAGTTTTCAAACAAAAACAACATTTAAATGAACATAAAAATAATGTTCATTTAAATCGTGGTAAAGAACTGCACTGTTTTTGGCCTAAATGTCAATTCAAGACATTATATAAAAACAATTATATTCAACACAAATACCTTCATTCAGATAACAAACAATTTAAATGTGATTTTAAAGATTGTAATAAAAGTTTTAAACAAATAACAGGTTTAATATCACACAAAAATATTAAACATTTAAATAAAAAAGGTTATAAAAGTAATGAATTGATTACTAAATCTAATGAATATATTCACTGTTGTTCTCCTAATTGTGATTACAAGACAACAAATAGACATCACTTAAAACAACACAAAATAATTCATTCAGAAAAACGTGAATTTAAATGTGATTTTTGTGATAAGAGTTATAAACGAAACGAACAATTAGTTCATCACAAAAATGTCATTCATTTAGATAATAAGGAATTTGTTTGTGATGTCAATGAATGCAACAAAAGATTTGCCCGAAAGAGAGATTTAGTTCTTCACAAAAGTTGTGTTCATTTGAATGAAAAGCCATTCAAATGTAATGAAGAAAATTGTGGCAAAATGTTTGCTAAAGAATTCCTACTAAATGCACACAAACGCATTCATTCGGGAGAAAAACCATTTGTTTGTGATTTCAACGGATGTAATCAAAGCTTTAAAAGAGTTTCACATTTATCTCAACACAAAAGTAATGTTCATTTGAATGAAAGGCTAATTAAATGTGATTTTCCCGATTGTAAGCAAACCTTCAAACAAACCAATCATTTGGTCGCTCATAAAAATCGCGTTCATTTCAAACTGAGATTTGTTTGTGATTTCAATGACTGTAACAAAAGTTATACTGAAAAATACAAATTAATTCAACACAAAAACTTTGCTCATTTAAATGTAATTAAATTTAAATGCAATGAAAAAAATTGCGGCAAAAACTTTATTTCAAATTCAGCGCTTAATGAACACAAACGCCTCCATTCGGGAGAAAAACCATTTGTTTGTGATTTCAAAGATTGTAATAAATGTTTTCACAAAATGTCATATTTAAAAGAGCATAAAAGCACTCATTTAACTGTTAAACAATTTAAATGTCATTACAAGGATTGCGGCGGAAGTTATGCCAGCAATAAATACCTTTTGTATCACATCAGAAATTATCATAAAAAATAAATTTATATCAATATTTTATATCATTATTAAATCCCTTTAATTACTGTGTGTTTAGTATTAACACGAATTAATTCAATGTTTGGATTTATAAATATTAATTTATAGTAAATTAGTGTAATTTTTATGTAAAGCTGTTAAAGTCTTGGACTAAACTCCTTATATATTTTTTTAGGCGACCGTCATTTATGGCGAGTACCAACTTAGCAGACACTTAGGGTGACCAGAAAGCATATATTGAAAATATAGATAACAATTGAAATGTTTTTAGTAATAGAATTTCTAAACTGTTGAAATTTAAATCTTAAAGTCTTTCAGATGATTCACAACATATAAAATTATTTTACTTTTAATTTATTTTATGTTATACAATGCATATTTCTATTAGATAGGAAAGCTATCGCATGTATAATACATGTAATATAGATTTTTATATTACATATTACAGTCATATAACATCATATAAAGCCACATAGTGTAATATAGAAAATAAACATTTTGCTTAAATAATGCTTATTTAGAAATCATAGCTAAATTTACAATAAAATCAACCACTTGTTTTACTAGTAGATTATTGAAACACACTTTTAATTGTGTTTTAATTAATTTTAAAAAATAGCCTTAATTACAATATCATAATTGCTTAATCAATAATTTAATTGTGCTAGATCTATATTACGCTATATATAAAAATTTTATATTACACTTTACATGTCATATAACTGTAATGTAACTTGTTATATGACGTCATATGACAGAATTAGCTACATTAATACTGTGTCATGTTAACTGTATATTAAATGAGCAAACCTTCAAAAGAAAGTCGTATGGTCACCCTAAAAAACTATGCTATATCATTAACCATAAATGCTGATCGTCTCAAAAAATATATAAGGTGTTTAGTCCAGGACTTTATATAAATGTAATAATTAACATCATAAGAGCACTCATTTAACTGTTGAACAATTTAAATGTTTTATCAATTATTGTAAACAATTTTATTAAAACATATCTTTTATATCATATTATAAATTATCACAAAATATAATTTGAAAATTATTTTTTTACCAAAAATATATCAATATTTATGATATGTTAATTATAATGCAAATAAATATTGTAAATTTTATTATTTAAAATTATTTTTTATAAACAATTTTTGAATAAATAATTTTATGATTTATATTAAAAATATATTTCAATATTGAATTTAAAAACAATATTACATTTGTATACTTTTAAAATAAAGTGATTTCTAAAATGTTTATTTTTTTTTGTTTAGCAATGAATTGACTCAGAGATCTGCTAGCTTTTATAATTCACACAAATTTCGTATATATAAACTTATAAATTAATGCTAAAAACAAGCTAACTACTGTAGATATCTTGTTTTTAACATTAATTTATAAGTTTATATATACGAAATTTGTGTGAATTATAAAAGCTAGCAGACCTCTGTCAATTATTGACTGATGTTTTAAATGGATTTATTTTTCCCAAACTTCACAACACTGTACCAAATATGGTAACAATATTTGATAAACAGGTTTTCACTATCAATGAGAACACGTGTTGTAAAGGATATGCATTTCATTTTAAGTTACATTTTATTTCCTTTTCCATTAGGTTTGCATTCAGTTTCACATCATTTCAAATGAAGTCAACATTTGTTTCATATATTGTTTGAAAATTGGATTCAAATTAATGAGTGTTTCGTTCATTCAATTGCTTTAAGTGTTGTTTAGTTTCAGTTCATATCAAATATCTATTGATTTCATTCGTGTTTTAAGTTATTTATCAAAATGTCTTCAAATTCAATGAGTGTTTCAATGAATGAAATGATTTCCAAATTAATTGAAATCAAGAGTTTTTGTGAAAAAATAGATAAAATGAAATGTATTTTGTATTCAAATAATAGTGTTTTGTGTGAAGCGATTGGTTGTGAAAATAAGGACAATATTTCAATCATTCAAACAATTGATTTCAATTCAATCAAAATCAGTGATAAAATGCTCCCCAAAAGTGATATCATTAAAAAATCTGATAATTATTTCCACTGTTTTTGGCCTAAATGTCAATTCAAGACATCAACGAAATGGGAGTCAAGAAACCATCAATTAATTCATTCATCAATAAAACAATTTAAATGTCATTACAAGAATTGCGGCGGAAGTTATGCCAGCAATAGATATCTTCAAAGACATGTTAGATATTGTCATAAAAAATAAATTGATATTAAAATGCAATATTATTTTTACATTTCTTTAATTTTGTATATTTACTATTAGTGTTTAATTCAATGTTTGGATTTATAAATATTGTATTAATGTTTAATAAATTATTGCAATCTTTATGTAAAGGTTTTATATAAATGTCATATTTAACAGATTATAAGAGCACTCACTTAACTGTTAAACAATTGAAATGTTTACACAATTATTGCGAAGTTTTTTACTTCAAACTTATTTTTCATATCATATTAGAAATTATAACAAATTATGAAAATTATTTATTATCAAAAACAAATCAATATTTATATCAATTATTAATGCAATTAAATGTTGTAATTATTTATTTCTTAACATTATTTCTTATAAACAATGTTTGAATAAATAATTTTAAGATTTATATTAAATATATATATTTAAATACTTAATTAAAATTAATTTTAAAAATTGTGACATTTGTATGCTTTTAAAATAATGTTATTTTTAAAATGTTTGTTTAATTTTCACATTCATTAGCAATAAATAAAATGCAAATATAAATCAAAATCCATGTTTGATAACATGTGTTACCAATGATATCACTGAATGTCTGTCTCAGCGTTTGTTTTTGTTTCAATCAAAATCTCTTCCCTATTATTACGACATTTAACAAAACGATGTAATGTTTTGGTGGCTTTGGATCACGTCTTGAGCTGACATTCGTAACCATAAACCTTATGAAAGAGACAATA